ACGGATCCTAGCACTTCTACGCACAGCCGACACCGGATAAACCTTCCGTTTCCAGGCCCTTTTAGGCCTAACGCAAACATCAGAAGGTTCGGCACGCTCGGAATGAGCCTCTACCACCAAAGACTCATCCACATGGTTAGAGGTTTCAGGAGAGGCATACTCATCCTCCTCTTCCGTCTCCTGTACCACAGGTTCAAGATCAGCACACAAACCATCAAGAACCCTAACCCCAAGCGCATCAATCTCCGACTCATTCATCGGCTTAACTGCAGCTATGTTACGAATCAATTCTAACGCTCGTTCAGCTTCCAAATCTAGCATATCATTAACAGACTTAGAAATCTCTAGATCATTATTACCAAGTGAAACTCCTAATTGGTTGGCATTTTGCACAATCTCATCATTGGTAAAATGCATAATAAAATTAGACTTATTAACAGACATACCAGTAGAAAGCTCGACGTCGCGCAACTTGGCCGCCCTCAATGCGCACCTTAGCTGCATGTCATCAACATCCGGCTGCTCCTGCAGTCTCCCGCTGACCCGTCTCCCTGCAGAGACAAGATCCGGGATCCCGCCGAAAGCGATGACCTCCTCGCGAGAAGATGAGCTGGGGAAAGAGCCTCCTGCCCGTCCCCCAACAGCGGTGGCCAGCGCCTGGGCCATCGGAGCAACATCCAGTGTCGACGAGAGCTCCCAGGGCCTATCGACGGACATCCCACCGATGCCCGAGACCGGCGAACTCGGCATAGCGCGGTCTAAGGAGTCCGGTGCCGCAGCGACCAAACCACCCAGCCTGCCCTCCAGAGCAACAGAAGAGGAGACAACGGCCTCCTGCGCGCCCGCTCCCCCGCAAGTCGGTGACCTCACCAAGGGGGCCGCGCCGACCCTCGGCACCGCCGGCATCAAAGGCCCCGAGGGCCGAGCCTCCTGCTCATCATCTCCTCCCGCGACCACCGGCTCGGCCACCACAGCCGGCGCCGAGGGAGAGGAAACAACTGAGGGCGGGACCTCCTGCCCCGCTGCACCTCCGTACTCAACAGACCTCGTCACCTGCAAACTGAGCATCGGACTCGTAGAAACGACCCGGTCACACGACAACCTCGGCGGAGCCGAGAACGCCCCAAAAGAACCAAGCTGAAGAGTGGTAGTCGGAACTGTGATAGAAGACCCAACATGGGCGGAGTCAGCAGTGTCAGACTGCCCCGAAGGCCCCTTAGCCTTGTCATCATTACTCTTAGCAATATCATCCTGGTTCCCCGAACCCCCTCCTCCCTCAGAAGTGTCCATGGGATTATCATCCTCAAACTCATTGAATAAATCAGGATCCTCATACTCAACATCCAACTGATATAAAACACCCGCATAAGTCCAAGGCACCACGTCTCGCAAGAACTGAATATTGGTGACACTGACAAGCAGCCGTGCCACCCCATGAGCCCGAGTGAACTGCATATCCACCTGCTCAGTCCTGCCAATCAAAGAACCCATGCTCCAGGTCACCAAGAAGCTGTCCAGAGGGGCAGACGGGGCACCAGAGAAACGAACCCAAATCTGAGTTAAGGGTGTGCCCTGTGGCTCTTTCTTTTTCCACTCATCAAACTCCAGCACATAACTAGTACCTGTGACCCTGCTCATACCGAACTTGAGAATCCTCACCTGATCCTCCTTAGACGGGAAATCCACTTTATAAGAGTTATCGGTGAGCTTAAGTAAGGACCACTGAAAATTACCCGGAGCGAGCTCTCTCAACTTCTGAATGATCTGTGCTTCGGTCAACGGCCCGTGAACCACCTTCACCACACCAGGGAAGGACGTTTCCACTATGGGCGCAGAAGGCTCCGCAGATGGAGACTCAAAAAACATCAACTCTGAACAACACACTCCGTAGATCTGAACGGATGGTTTAGGCCCCAACATAAGAGGACAGTCGGCCGCTGTGTGTTTAGGTTTCCGGCACAGATCACATAACTCCGCAGTACACTGAACCAAAAAGTGACCCGGTTCCCCACAACGGGAACAAGTGAGCTTCTTCTTCTTAGCTGCCCACTTAGACAACTTGTCACTCTCGGCCTTGTCCGAACCTTGCTCAGAAGTAGGATCGCCAGTCTGCATGGGCTCTGGCAAAGAAACTGCAGCCAAAGCCTGCACCGTCTCCACCGCCACATGCGGTAAATCCGATGCACCCTCCGCTACCTCCGTCACTGTAGCGGTCTTAGTATGCCGAGGCTGGTAGTGCCTCCGGTTCCCGCCCCGACCTCCACGAAAGCGTCCTCGGACAGCTCGGTTGTTAGGACCAGCCGTGCCCTCGACGAAATTTCTAATTACCCGAGGAATAGCTAATAAGTCTAATTTTTTTTTCTTACCGCCGTGTGCATGAGATATATATTGCAAAACTCTTTGAGAGAGACTTCATTAGTAGAAAAACTTCAGTCCAAAATCAGAATCAACCACACTGGATCAAACCGAAGGGTGAATGTGGCAGAAACGCTACGCGGACGAGAGCCATCCCTTTCCCACCCCTAGAAAACTCGGCGTCAGAGAACAGAGGCAGTGGCTGGTCCAACAAGTCCAACCGCCGACACAAGATCCAAGCGGGCGAGTTGTTCGCGGACGGAGGATGCGTGCGCCGGGTACCCAAGGTGGTGACTGGTGGCGGGGCACAAGTCACCTCTCGCCCAACCCAAGTGCACCGCACAGTGGCGCTGCCCTCCCTCCTGTGCAGATCCCCTATCCTGTCCCTGCACCCCGCGAACATGCGTGTGCCCCTCCTCCTCCCCTCTTTTCTGCCTCCTGTCCCACGATCCTTCTGCCTTCCCCTAACTCACTGTTAGACTAATCCACGCTCGTGATGATGTCTTGTGCGAGGGATGTAGGAACGGATGGATCTCGATGGGATCCACTGTGCACAGTGCACTGAACATTGCCCCAATGATCGCGCTTTGGTCCGCTCCGAATCTGATTGGGCGCCCTGCATGGATCCCTTGATGGCCCTAGCTCCCCCTCCCAATCATACGGAGGACCTCTGTTTTTTCCAATTGTTTTTGCGTTGGATCGCAATTCTGTTCATTGGGTACGCGCCCTTGGCCCCATGTAGGCTTTTGATGCTGTTTCCTGCGTGCATTATTGTGGGGCTATGCTAAGCGTTTGGATTTGCGGCTGCGAGAGTTTGGCCGATGCTGCTGCTGCTGACACTTCCGCGTGTGTAGTTTATGTAGCATCGCTCGTTATTTTTTACATCAAATCAAATCAGCCGGTCTCATAATTGGTGTTAAGCCACTGTGAGCCGAACTGTGTGATGGCGTTTGCACCACATGTTTGGATATTGCAGTTTGTCTCATCGATGGAAATCGGGCTCGCTTCTGATTTGAGTGATTTGAAATCTCGCTCACCAAACCTTGCCCTTAACCATCCTTGTCTAGTACAGTAGGTCGCGTCATCGCGCGGCTCGCTGCCCCACCTAAGGCTGAGAGGATTATGATAATCACACGGGAAATCTGGAGCACGCATTCGGAAGGCGTCTGCGGATCATAGTTCCGTCTCTGTGAGACTGATTTCCATTTGTGTCAAAAAAGATTGGCTTTTCAGTGGCGTCAGCATGATAATAATTGATAAAGTGATCACATGATATGAACTCACTTGGGACAACGAACAGTGTAGTCAGTAGCCATGCACTCTGCTCGCACGCTTTGACTTTGATACTTGAGCTGTCCGCATCTTCAAACAAAAAATGGGACCCGCTGGAAACTAGTCGACTGAAACTAAATTTAGGTCAGTCGATTGGTTTCTAGGCGTCCGATGAAAAATAGACGGACAGATATGCATCTTCAACCTCGAGCCATCTTCTTGTTTCTTCGAACCGTCGAGCCACCACCGGCCTAACCGTATGTTGTCAGTCGCCCGTGGCCATCGGCACTCCCGCGTCAGCGTCGTCTCCCCTTCCCCTGCGCCATCCCTCTAATCCGGCCATACACAGTTTTTTCTGGCAAACCTGCCTCCACCCCCCTCCCCGCTCTTTTCACTATTTTGACCCTTTCATGAAACTTTCACACAAAATGAATTCCATAAAAACTATTTCACAATCTGACCCTTTTGGTAACGCCACAGGCCGTGACGTTTCTTCTCTATTTAGAAACGCCGAGCTAGCTAGCGTTGCTGGCCTGGTCGAGACGCTACGTGGCAGGGTAGAAATGCCAAAGTATGCTGCGTTGCTGGAAACGCCAAGGGTGCCTGGCGTTGCTGCCCAAGCATGAAACGCCAAGGGGTTTGGTGTTTCAACTAGCTTGTCCATATTGCCATTTATTTATGAAGTGCAACAATGTTAGCTAGCTTGGCGTTTCTAAATAGAGAAGAAACGCAACGGTCTGTGGCGTTATCAAAAGTGTCAGATCGTGAAATAGTTTTGTGTGAAGTTTATTTTATGCGAATTTTTTCTGAAAGGGTCAAAATAGTGAAAAATGCCCCATAACACCTCTAAGATAGATAATTGGGTAGTCTGTCAGCCTAAGATAGATTATGGGATATCTTCTCATGTAAGCCGGCATACTTACTTCCCTCCGATGCTTCCTTCCTTCACTCGAAATCGACTAACCCAAATTTCATATTCAGACGATTAGCATATAGCTACTGTGAAAAAAAAGAACAACTGATACAAAAGTTTTGATTTTGCATTCCGAATCGTGCGAATAAAAGAGAAGAACAATCAGCCAACACTACGCGGGAAAGTAGTTGCGCATTTGCACATGGCCGATGCTCCACCGGCCCAACCGCACTAATAACATCGTGTCCGTAGTTAATCGACGTCGACCCTTTCGTCAATGGTTTAGTTAACGTTTGACCCTATGCGTCATAACAATGGATTAAGTAGTAGTAAACGCAACCACTCTTGCAGCTTGATCACTAGCTAGAATGCTCAGCACGGCGGACAGTACTCCTGCTGCATTTGGCTGTCCAAGGTAAGCAAAAACCAAACCACGGTGCATAATGAGACGGCCGTGATAATGCTAGGCAGGGTCATCTTCTGCGTGGTGATCGCCGCGGCCGTCCTCGCCGTCGTCCTGCTCGCCACCGTCTCCCCTCTCCCCCACCGGTCCACCGCGCGCCCCCGGGGTCTCCGCGCTATCACGGTGTACATCCATCCGGCGAAGTCAGGAGCCGCGACGCAGCAGCAGCGGCACCAGGGCGCCGCCGCCGCGCACGGAGACGAACGGGCGGCGAGCGCGCTGGTGTTCCGACACCGGATGACGGCGGGGCCGGAGTTCACGTCGGCGGCCGTCGGCGCGGCCTCGGGGTTCGTGCTCCCGGGCGAGCGCGGCTCGGCGATGTCGGCGTTCGACACGGTGCACCTGGCGTTCGACGCGCCCGGGCTGTCCGGCAGCCTCTGCGTGGAGGTGGCCAGGGACAAGGAGGCCCTCTGTGTGGTGGGCGGCACGGGCGCGTTCGCGTTCGCGCGCGGGCGCGGCGCCGTCCTGCGCCCGGAGCGGGGGAAGCGGCTGGACGGCGGCGGCGCCGCGACGGCGTTGCGTCTTGAGCTGAGCCTGAGCGTCGCGTCCGCTGGCTAACAACTATGAGATGAGAGAGCCCATTAGAATTACTTCCCTTTCTTCCCTTTTGCTGCGACATGTATTCGGGGAACTGTAAGCCTGTAATGCAGCTTTGAGTTGATTGCGTGAGAGTGATACGCCAAACTTTGCGTAATCACTAGCTTGTTTCCATTCAATCATCAGAAGTATTTTGTGTGGAGACTGGGAATACAGGCTATGAGTTCATCAGAGTTCGTATGTTTTTCTTTGCCTCTTTCCACAATAGGGTATGGCAACTTCACCGGTTCAAGTTTGTACGTCTTCTGCTGATCGGAAAAAAGAATATCAGGACGGGAGATTTTTTTGAGATCAGAATCCACTAGATTTTATTGGTTAACAATCATGGGAATACAAACTGGGCCATAGAGAAGACCAAGCCAAGTGTTCATGAACAAAATTACACAGGGTAGATGAAGATTTTAGAGCTATCATTTCCTTGATGACAACTTCATATCCCTCCCGTCCTCGTGGCAATACCATCCACGACACTCAAGCAGTCAGAGGCAGGATGTAATCCCTCCTTTTTATTGCGATAATGTAATATCTGCAAATGAATGTGGCCGGATCGGTCATTGGAAGAACCAGGGCCGACGCTCCCAAGATTTAGTCCTTAATCATCTCTATTCCTAATAGAGCAGTTGATGAATAGTCTTCACGGTTTATTTTTACTGTTTTTTTCGTCTCTCCTCCCACCTTCGTCTGATTTTTTTTGTCCCTCCTCCCACCTTCCATCGACGTTGATTTTTTATTCACCGGTTTATTTATCCATTAGCTCTTTCCTTACAAATCAGCACTTTCCAAACGTACACGCAATCACGAATCTAACTTTACTAACTTACCCAAATCAACCGATACCTCCCATTATTGCAAATTTCTTTAGGAAACAAATAATAGATTTTAAGTAAACAAATAAAAGATTTTAAAGACACATCATACACCATAGAAAAAAAATCTCATTACGAAAGCATTATGTACCTACTTAATTTGTTATGAAATATTATCTGTACTCGTTTCGTACCAACGCCCCATCCATCGATCTCCCTGCCGCGAACTCGTGCGATCTCCCTGCCGCCGACGAACGGGATCGCCGCCACCGACCTCCGGGATCGGCGTCCCTCGCTGCCGCCGACGGTACGTCCAGGATCGACGCCCTCGAACTCCCAGAGGCGTGGCGTTGTCCCGTTCCCCTGCCGCGGTGCCACCTCCGCCGTGCCCGCGGCCGCCGCGGCGACGCCCCAGCACATCTCCCACTACCTCGCGCATAACCCGAGGGTGGCGTGGGAGGCGCTCTCCGCCGCGTTCCCCGCCGCCGCGGCGCCCGAGGGCCATGTCGACGTCGTGCTCCTCTCCCTCGCCAGGAACCCCAGCCCCTCCCCCTCCTCCGCCGAGACCGTTGCCAAGAACACGCACAACTTCTTCCACTGGTCCGTCGCCTCGTCGTCGTCGCCCCACTCGCTCCGCTCCTACTGCCTGCTCATGCACCTCCTCGCCCACGCGACCCTCGTCAGCCACGCCTCCGTCCTCCTCCAGGCCGCCATCACCAGGCACTCCTCCTCGCCGGCTTCGCATTTCCTGGACGCCTTCTTCGCGGCCTACGGGACAGCGGCACTACCGCGACGGCCCGCGGCCTCCACCTCCTGGTGCACGCCTACGCGCAGCTCCGCCTCCCGGAGGAGGCCCTCGAGGCCTGCCGGTACCTGGCGCTCCACCGCGTGCTCCCTTCACTATCCGCCTTCAACGCCGTGCTGCACGCGGCGCAGCGCACCAGTCGGTTCCAGGTCGCCTAGGAGGTGTTCGAGCTAATGACGCTGAAGCGGGTGTACGCCAGCTAGGCCACCGTCGAGCTTGTCGTCGGTGTGCTGAGCCGGGAGGGCGCATTTGCCAGGATGCTGGGCATGGTGGCGGAAGAAGGTCATCTTCTAGGGAGCCGCACGCTGGCCGCCGTCTCCACCCGCTATGTCAACAGCGCGCGCAACATCCCCTACCACCTCCTAATCATGCCCTATTGGTAAGGAGCACACCCTGCACTTTACAGTCAGGTCTGGCCGGTATGACCGCATCCTCGTGAAGGAAATATGCCCTATAGGCAATAATAAAGTTATTATTTATTTCCTTATATCATGATATATGTTTATTATTCATGCTAGAATTGTATTAACCGGAAACATAATAAATGTGTGAATACATAGACAAACAGAATGTCACTAGTATGCCTCTACTTGACTAGCTCGTTAATCGAAGATAGTTATGTTTCCTGGCCATAGACATGTGTTGTCATTTGATTAACGGGATCACATCATTAGGAGAATGATGTGATTGACATGACCCATTCCGTTAGCTTAGCACACGATCGTTTAGTATGTTGCTATTGCTTTCTTCATGACTTATACATGTTCCTATGACTATGAGATTATGCAACTCCCGTTTACCGGAGGAACACTTTGTGTGCTACCAAACATCACAACGTAACTAGGTGATTATAAAGGTGCTCTACAGGTGTTTCCGAAAGTACATGTTGGGTTGGCGTATTTCGAGATTAGGATTTGTCACTACGATTGTCGGAGAGGTATCTCTAGGCCCTCTCGGTAATACACATCACTTAAGCCTTGCAAGCATTGCAACTAATGAGTTAGTTGCGAGATGATGTATTACGTAACGAGTAAAGAGACTTGCCGGTAACGAGATTGAACTAGGTATGGAGATACCGACGATCGAATCTTGGGCAAGTAACATACCGATGACAAAAGGAACAACACATGTTGTTATGCGGTCTGACCGATAAAGATCTTCGTAGAATATGTGGGAGCCAATATGAGCATCCAGGTTCCGCTATTGGTTATTGACCAGAGACGTGTCTCGGTCATGTCTACATAGTTCTCGAACCCGTAGGGTCCGCACGCTTAACATTACGATGATAGTTTTATTATGAGTTTATGTGTTATGATGTACCGAAGGTTATTCGGAGTCCCGGATGTGATCACGGACATGACGAGGAGTCTCGAAATGGTCGAGACATGAAGATTGATATATTGGAAGCCTATGTTTGGATATCGGAAGTGTTCCGGGTGAAATCGGGATTTTACCGGAGTACCGGGAGGTTACCGGAACCCCCCGGGATGTTAATGGGCCTTAGTGGACCTTTACGGAGAAGAGGAGAGGCGGCCAGGGCTAGGCCGCGTGTCCCTCCCCCTAGTCCGAATAGGACAAGGAGAGGGGGCGGCGCCCCCCTTCCTTCCTCTCTCCCTCCTCTTTCCCCCTCCCAAGTCCTAATCCAACTAGGAAAGGGGGGAGTCCTACTCCCGGTGGGAGTAGGACTCCTCCCGGCGTGCCTCTCCCCTTGGCCGGCCGCACCCCCCTTGCTCCTTTATATACGGGGGCAGGGGGCACCCTAGAGACACAACAATTGATCATTGATCTCTTAACCGTGTGCGGTGCCCCCCTCCACCATAGTCCACCTCGATAATACTGTAGCGGTGCTTAGGCGAAGCCCTGTGTCGGTAGAACATCAACATCGTCACCACGCCGTCGTGCTGACGAAACTCTCCCTCAACACTCGGCTGGATCGGAGTTCGAGGGACGTCATTGGGCTGAACGTGTGCTGAACTCGGTGGTGCCGTACATTCGGTACTTGATCGGTCGGATCGTGAAGACGTACGAGTACATCAACCGCGTTGTGATAACGCTTCCGCTTTCAGTCTATGAGGGTACGTGGATGACACTCTCCCCTCTCGTTGCTATGCATCACCATGATCGTGCGTGTGCGTAGGGAATTTTTTGAAATTACTACGTTCCCCAACAGTGGCATCCGAGCCAGGTTTTATGCGTAGATGTTATATGCACGAGTAGAACACAAGTGAGTTGTGGGCGATATAAGTCATACTGCTTACCAGCATGTCATACTTTGGTTCAGTGGTATTGTGAGATGAAGCGGCCCGGACCGACATTACGCGTACGCTTACGCGAGACTAGTTTCACCGCCACGAGCACTAGTTGCTTAAAGGTGACCGGCGGGTGTCTGTCTCTCTCACTTTAGTTGAACCGAGTGTGGCTACGCCCGGTCCTTGTGAAGGTTAAAACAACATCAACTTGACAAACTATCATTGTGGTTTTGATGCGTAGGTAAGAACGGTTCTTGCTAAGCCCGTAGCAGCCACGTAAAATTTGCAACAACAAAGTAGAGGACGTCTAACTTGTTTTTGCAGGGCATGCTGTGATGTGATATGGTCAAGACATGATGCTAAATTTTATTGCATGAGATCATCATGTTTTGTAACCAAGTTATCGGCAACTGGCAGGAGCCATATGGTTGTCGCTTTATTGTATGCAATGCAATCGCCCTGTAATGCTTTACTTTATCACTAAGCGGTAGCGATAGTCGTAGAAGCATAAGATTGGCGAGACGACAACAATGCTATGATGGAGATCAAGGTGTCGCGCCGGTGACGATGGTGATCATGACGGTGCTTCGGAGATGGAGATCACAAGCACAAGATGATGATGGCCATATCATATCACTTATATTGATTGCATGTGATGTTTATCTTTTATGCATCTTATCTTGCTTTGATTGACGGTAGCATTATAAGATGATCTCTCACTAAATTTCAAGATAAAAGTGTTCTCCCTGAGTATGCACCATTGCCAAAGTTTGTCGTGCCCAGACACCACGTGATGATCGGGTGTGATAAGCTCTACGTCCATCTACAACGGGTGCAAGCCAGTTTTTGCACATGCAGAATACTCAGGTTAAACTTGACGAGCCTAGCATATGCAGATATGGCCTCGGAACACTGAGACCGAAAGGTCGAGCATGAACCATATAGTAGATATGATCAACATAATGATGTTCACCATTGAAAACTACTCCATTTCACGTGATGATCGGTTATGGTTTATATGATTTGGATCACGTGATCACTTAGAGGATTAGAGGGATGTCTATCTAAGTGGGAGCTCTTAAGTAATATGATTAATTGAAC